TCCGGGTCACCAGTTGGCTGCTGCTGTTTATCTTCCAGTGATTAATGGTTGCTCTTGGTTCCTGCTGCAATTCCATTAAGATTAGAGATTTAAAGCTACACTGAGATGTTTAGCAGTGGGTGACCTTGGTCTCCCCATAGTTATATTTCTATAGTCTCAAGGAAACAAATATTAACTCATTTTGCACCCCATCATTCTTGCTTTCTAACAGTGGGGAAAGAGCCCCTCACAGGCAGCACTTGTGTTGGCCGGCAGAGAATCTGACTCTTGGTTGCTGAACGATTCATGTGCTGTGCTGATGTGGCACTTGTAATTCCAGCCCACAGGCACTCTGATGGCACCATCGCCTGAACAAACACATGTATCCAGAGAACAAAATGCTCTTCCACAAGAGAACAGGCACACTCCCAATCATTTCTTCTTTGACAAGGAGCAGAGGGAGAGGCAGGGCCTGTTCCACCTTACCTCAGCCCCTCACAGGGACCAAAGTACAGAGCCAGATCATCTTCCTGAAAATGCACATTTAAATTCCATTAACAAGTCCCAAATGTTTGTCTCTTGTGAAAGTAAGCCGGCACACAGGGAACACAAGCATGGGAGGAGTGAAGCAATCAGCAGTAGTTTGACTTCTGCGATTGATGGAGCAGGAAGAGACAGCTCTGACCCTAAGAATCTAATGTAACATCATACCTTCACCTCAGGGGATGCAAGAATGAAAGGACACTTCCCCCCAAATGATTGCAGAGCACCTTTCAGCCTGAGGGGTAACTCTTTGTGGAGATCAGCAATTCCAAGCAGAAGATCCAGCTACTCTGGCCCTGGCTGGAGGCAAGAAACTCACAGGTCCATAGGGCTGTGCTGATCTGCTCCAGAGAGGCCAGCTTAGAGCCTCCCTCCTATCCTTGGGCCATCAATGGTCATTGTGCTGCTATCTTGGAACCTGAAGCATCAGGTCCTTGCTGAAGCACCCCTGTGTGCCCATGGGAAGTCAAATAACATCGAAACAATGCAAGAGGCATCTTTTCACTTCCAGATCAACCTGCCAAAGCAGGTCCAGCAAGAAGCCTGCTGCCAATGGCAGTGCAGAGAGCTGAGCAGCACACACAAGTCAGTCTCTAGGCAGCTCTCCATGGACAAGACTCACATCACAAAAGCCACTCCTATAATTAGCCTTACCTTGCTTGAAGTCAACCTTTATGTTTCCTTCCTACCCCTTCAAAGAAAAAAAAACCAAGCAAAACCTCTTTGCTCCCAGGTGATGGAGCAGTTACTGAGAACTAGGAGGTGGGTCACAGAGACCCTTGTTTCTCTTTTCAGGTAAACAAGGTTGCCCTCCTCACAAAGAAGTGTCCTCCTTCTACTGCCTAAATGACCCCAGCTTGGCAAGTCAGGAACTGACACAGAAATAGAAAGGGAATGCATTTGAAAAGAGAAAAGGCCTAGAGCTAGGACTGCTCTTCCCCTGCCCTCCACCACATCCGTGGAGCAGAGATGGCAATTCCCTGGCTGGCTGAAGGGTCTTGCACAGGTAGCCACAGCAAGTTCACATGGGCACCAAGGAGAGGGTGCACATAGGCAGTGACTGGAAGAAGAGATGTATTTGTTACAGGTTTGGGAACCTTTATCTCAGGGGCAATAGCATACATCGATGGAAGGAGTTACTGGTGCTGGAGCAGACTGGGAGCCATGGCTAGTTTTACAAAGCTGAAGCCTCTGAGCAAGCCTGACTGCTTGTTGCTAATACAGGAGCTGTCCCTAAAGAAACTGCTCTTTTATGTTAAAAGAAAGTGAGATGAAGGGTCAGATCAAGATGGTAAATTTGATTTAATCTAAAAATATTTCTGAGGTGCCAATTCCACTGATTCATTCAGACCAGGCAAACAACTTAGTAGAAATGCCATGAAGGTTAGCGCTGACTTTCTTAATGTCTCTGCCTACAGCAAGATCTAGCCAATGTGGACAAAAGATCCTTTTTTAAAATCCAAAAGGGTGTATAATCTAGAAGAATACCTTACAGGCTTTTGTGTCAGTAGCATGGGGTTGCCTTTGGGTAAATACACATGCAGCCACCACTGCAGATTTTCCCTGCTTTTATAATCATGCTGAGGAGATCCCTCTCTCCCCATGCTTTTGCTTCTCCGTGACCTGCTCAGAGCAAATTGAGAAGGCATTCCCTGATGCCACCACATATGGCACATGTAAAAGGTTATGCAATTACATATAAACATACAACACCTCTCTGAAATCCTCTTGCTTTTTAGTTCAGTTCACAAAGCAAACTTGTGCTCAGCCGCAGGTCCCAGGTTAAACTTGAATACTGGCCACACTTCATAACCAGTTTTAATCTAAGTGCCCATTGTATCTCTGAGGCAGGCCAAACATGCTATGTTGTGTCCAGCAGCTTGGATGAACTTTGCAACCATTGCATTGGTGCAATCCAGGATGGGGCATAAATTTTCAATACCAGGACTAGGCTCTCCTGAGCCTTGTACCTTGTGTTGTCATTTATGCCTATGGACCCTTGTCTATGTAACATACTCCCCCCCTGGGTTTTCCTATCTTTGCCTAGTTTGTACAGATGAAAGTAATGCGAGATGTGGAAAAAAGAGCAAACAGGACCCTGCACAGGAGGACACTGTCCTTGAGTTACAGCAAGGCAAGGATCTGAATTCCTCCTTAAATCGTCCAGTAGAGAGTCAGGCTCTAGAAGAGAGGAAATTGTGCTTGACAGATGCAATCATATGCAAATGGCAGTAGAAGAGGGGAAATTATCATCTACAAACATTGGGCAGAAATTCCATCTGCTGCAGACTCAAGAAGGGCTCTTAATAAATTCTGAGACAGCAAAGTGACACACATCTTAATCAAGACTTAATCCATGGAATTAATTCACCGCGCGTTTCTGCATAATTCTGAGAGTAATGCTAAAAGCCATGGCAATATCAGCAGCAGATGGACTCTCCTACTCCATGCAAAGGTATTAAAGAAAACACAGCCTCTGTCACATCACTTCATGTATGTACACATGGCAGAATGCAACAGGGCTGTGCCTGGCTGTTGCCAGGAGCTTAACACAGCCAGCAGACATCAAAGGTCAGGCTTGCCACAAAGTGGAAATGGAAACCAGCCTCATTGCAAAGCCAGAGTCCTGCTATTTCTCTCCCATAGGAGAGAAGAAGCCCAGAGCAAGGCAAAGGTCTGGGAATCCAGAACCACATCCTGGTTCATTTTGTGCTGCTTCCAGAGAGCACTGACTGAGGTTAGTATTGAGACTACCCCAGCAGTACCTGGGAGAGGCAGTGGAGGTCAAGTGAAGTGAAGAGCAAGGAAAACTGCAGGGGTTTTGTGAGTGAGATCTGCTGCAGAAGCCAGGCAGATAACCATTAGAAATGGCTCCTTTCCCTCTCATCACAGCCTGGAAAACACACTACAAGTATGGGGATCAGCCCTGACAAGGGCCCTGGCAGCAGCCTTGTGCAAATTGACTAAAGGAGGCTTTAGACAGCTCTGAAAATACATTCTTAGTCACTGTCATCCACCTCCAAATGAGGTACAACAGCTATGTGATTAATCTTTTGTTTACATGTCTAAAAACTAACACGGTCCAGACTGTCTTCAGCACATTCCCTCCCTGACACGCATGGATTTGAGGGGTGGGCAATCCTTCACCATCCAGGATCCAGCCTTCTCAACTGGTCTCCTCCTGAAGTTTGAAAATCCCAAACACCTGGTCCAAACTTTCCTAAACCCAGAGGTCCCAGATCCTGGCACAGTGTATCAGCTGTTGTGTCTTAGAGGAAAAGGATCCCTAGCTGGGAAGGTGAGATATCAGCTGGGAGTGGCCAAAGTTTCAGAAGCTGCTGTGGTCCCCTCAAAGTGATCCAGCCTTCATAAACTGTGCACCAGTGGCAGTGAAATATCCTGTGTTTTGCTGGGTTATGATCCAAAATTCATATTAGGGATTAACGCAGGGTCAGCTCCCCTTTCCAAGGGGATGTAGCCAGGCTTGGAACACTTAAACCTCATGCCTGCCTCTTCATGAGCATCTAATGTGGTCCAGAACAAAGTGGTGCTCTCAGCTGAGCTCCTTTAGACAATACAGGTAGAGGGTGCAGGGTCCCATAAGGAAGTGAATGATGAAAATAATTGATTTTGGGATAGAGAGCTGTGAAGGAGGTGGCAGAAGAGTCACAATGCTTCCTGCAGTCGTGGGGAGCAGCACTGACAGCTTCCCAGTTTGGGATGCTTTCAGCCAGGGAAGATGGCTCACCAGCACAGGCCAGTCTCTTGAGGGGACATGGGGAGCGTCCGGTCAGGATGATCTAATGCTGGAAGCAAGCTCTTGCTGCAGCCAGGACCACTCATTCCCAGGCACCTAAGTGTGTGAAATGTGATTCCCATCAGTACACAGAGGTCCTTGTGTACCTCAAAGGAGTCTACTTGCACTGCCTGGGTCTCTGCTTGTAGCAGTGGCTGTGTAGGCAGATGTGCCTTTCTATCAGTGCTAGGCACAGGAATGCTTTTCTTTTGGGATGTGTGCATGTAGTGCTCTCTGAACAGCATTACTTAAGCTTCACCAGCTTGTGGAGAAACAAGGGAGAAAGAGGAGGGAAGCTGGGCAGGGAGGATGGGAGAGGTGGGATGACTGGGGAAGGTGCTAACAGCCCTTGGCTGGCCCAAAACCACTTCCTCAGATCTCCATTACACAGCATGCTCCCGGCGTTGCTATTTCAGTCTGAATGTCACCTATAAATTGGAGGCTCTTTCTCTGAAGGCTGCAAATAGAAGTGTCACTAGATGATCTTTGATTTATAGGGAAGCTCAGCTGAAAGCCCAGTATGTCCATTTTCCAGCCAAGAAACTCAAAGGTGTCCAAGGATCACACTGGGATCCTTTCATTTTCCTAGACCTTTCCTCAAGGCAAATCCCTGCTGGAGGTGATGAGGAGAGGTCACACACACATTGATCTCTCTGATCACACTGTGACTACTGTTTTTCAGATTCCTCATTCTCCACCACCAATCCCTGCCCCATGGATTTCAACCTGCTGGCAGACGCAGAGGCTCGCAGCCCAGCCTTGTCTCTCTCGGACTCTGGAACTCCTCAACACGAGCACAGCTGCAAAGGGCAGGACCACAGCGGTGAGTGCGAGGCTCGAGATACAAGAAAAGCCCTGAGCCATCCTTGTGGGTGGATCTGGGTGGCCAATGGCTTGCAGGAGCTGGCTGCAGTGCTCCCAGAGGGACAGTTTCCAGTTGTACTGGGAGCCAGCAAAATGCCATAGCAGCATGGCTGTGCCAACAAGCAGGGCAAAGGTGTAAGGGTCCATATTGCAATGACAGCTATTGGGAGGGTGAGAACCTCAACCCAGTGGTGGGGACATCTGGCCCTGGCTGCAGGAAGCCACTGCTCACAAGGGTACAAGCCCATGGCAGGCCAGAGCCAGGCAAGTCAGGTCATAGCCCAGTTAAGATTTTATTGTATTTGCCTAAGCAGGCTCCCCAGAGCAGAAGAGCTCTCCCCACTACATAGGAAGTATCCAAGGCACAGAATTTTAATTTTCTGATTTTAAACTGCTCTTTTCTTTTTTTTTTTACCTCTGTTTAAATTGTTTGGGTTTAAACTTTCCATGGTAAAGGTAAACCTTAGGCTGAACTTTCCAGGTTCAAGCATTAAGATGAAAGGGAAGCACTGTCTTGCTCCTGCTTTAACTGAAAAATTCTCCTCACCTGTGCCTTGGTGCACTGCTCTGCTGCTCTCCCACAGAGGTGCTTCTGACCATTCCCCAAGGCTGAATTCTTCATCAGGCTCTGAATAAGAAGCCTGATAAACCATTCACACCTGTTCAGAAATCAGCTACCAAATGCTATGGTTTCCACTGGATTGTACATCTGTCTGGTTACCATTCTACCTCTTGTCATTCTGGATGTCAGGACAATGCAAAGCTGCTTCTGCCAGTGCCAGCATGAGGGAGTGAGGGCCGGGGACAGCCCGCTGCTCTCCGTGTAAAGCCTCCAGGCTCACCCGCACTCAAAAGCTAATAAGGATAATGATGCAGATTAAAATTCCCCAGAGAAAGTATCATGAAGGGAGTTACGCTGGGATAACCAGAGTCAGAGAATCTGCCCGACAAATTCCCTACTGCACACGTACCTTAGTTGGGCACATCCCCAAGTTCAGTGGCTCCTTGTCAGCTGCTTTGGATGCATGGCAGTGTCTCCATTCAAGTGGCCTTCCCTACTGAGCCCACCCTGGCATGCGGTAGAAGTGCCAATTTAGGCACTGACTTTTCTTTCCATTAGGCGTGAGCAGCTAATTCCAGCTATGGCCACAGTAGTTTCACTGAGTGGGTGAACATGTACAAGATATATTCTACAACCTATTTTGGGGTGACAATAAGCGTTGGACATGTGGCTACATCACTCCCCACTGTCTTAAGCAGTCTAGAAATAAAATGTTTCTGGGAGGTGACTGTCAGCATTACCTGTGTGCAGATGCTGGCAGCTTGCAGCTTTGCACCAGGGGCTGATGGCAGCCATGCATCACCACTGTCAGGCAGAATAGATAAGGGCTTCCTGAGACAGGGGCAGGGCTTCACTTCTGGCACTTCTTGACTCCCCTCAAGAGAGCAGCCTCTCTACTTCTCCTTGGCCCTGCTTCATTCATCCACACAAGTAAGAGATGCTGAGGAAGTGAACACAAACCTTGCTTGTCTGGACTCAGCACTCAGGGATCTCAAGTGGCCTACAATTGTATGGCATGGTTGGTGACACCCCCTTCTGTTAGGTTTCATCAGGTAGCACAGGTCAGGGGAGAGGATGAGAAGTGAGTCAGGTAAAGAACTGCCCCACATCTCCCCATACTGTGCTCCTCAGCATGGATTCAAGGCACCCACGTCCTTTCTGTGGGCTCCTTTCTTTCCCTGTATTGCCACAGTTTGGGTCCTCACTGCAGTCAGTCAAAACTCTGTACCTTTTACAGAGGACACCTATTCCCTGCTTATAGAAGAAACAGAAAAGGGATGACACACAGAAAGAAACACAGGTAACAGGTATGGAAACAAAGAGGACACCAAGATGAACTGCAGAGATTTTTCAAGGCTCAAAGTTGGGATTCCTACTTCTCCTTAGATTTCAGATTTATGAAAAGTAGGTATACCAGAGGGTGTTGAGAAGACAAATACCAAACAAGATACATTGTGACCTTTTTCACCCAGATGCAGCCTGTAAACCAGTGGTATCTTCACTCCATTTTCTTTCCCTCTTGGTATAGTTTCTTCATGAGTGAAGAAGGGTAGTCCTGGGCAGGAGTTTCCAATTGGACTTAGCTTCCTGCTTCACAGCAGCCCCTTTGGAAATGAATATTTGTCAGGGACTTCGGTGAGAACACATCCCCTGTATGCATGAGGCTCCTAATTAACCCATAATGAGCAGATGAACAAACTAAATGTTGCCCATTCATCTGTATTGAGCCATTCCTAACAACTAGCTCAGATGGGTGGAATCACTCCCCATTTAATCTCTTTTGGAGATGGATAGTGCAGGAATCTCCTGCATCCAATACTGGTTTAGAGCACTGAGCTAGATAAATCAGATTTATCTGCTTGGCAAGAACCACTATAAAAATTCACATTAAGAGCATGTTTCCAAGAGTACTGCTGAACATGGGATCCACAAACAAAGAGGCTCATGAAAATGAGAAGAGTACTGCAAGACCTCAACCAAGCTCTTTCATTCCACTTTTCAATTCCTATGGCTTTGTTTCAAGAGTGTGCTGGCAAAGTTCCTGTACAGGTACACCCTGGATGGAAACACAAACTGGTCCTGATGCTGGGAACAGGACATAGCACCTTCCTGCTTAGAAGAACCAACTTACACCCTACTGCTGTGAGCAATGGCCATCTCACTGTCCTTGCACTCACATTTCTGCTGGTGGATAGCATCGGGCATGCTACTGGAGCAGAGGTGGCTGGAGGAGAACAAACCACTGACCGCAGCCAGGGTTTCATCCCTGGAGAGCGAGCACCTTTCCTGCAAATGCTTTCTGCAACTCCGGCATTGCTCCCTTTGAGGAAAGGCAAGTACAAGGAGGGTTTTCCAAGAACAGAAGGAAAATATTTCTGAATTAACAGGCTGTCATAGGAACAGAGTAGTGGCACCAGGTTCCTGAGATGGGAGCATCTTCCAGGTCTGGGCCCCACTAAGGCACCTGCTGTTGGCACAGCACTTTCCTGCAGCAGTCTCTGTGGGGGATCAAATGTTTTAGGCCTTTTGCATCCCCCATAAAAACTAATTGGAAAAGACAGAGCCAATTATTCCAGAGCGCATCCATTTGACTTGTGGAATCTCTTTTTTCCCCTGACTAAACTGTATTCCAAAATGCTATCTCCTTGCATCCCTACTCATTAAGGGGCTGTACCAAACATCTTCATGCTGAGATTTTTCTGGACTTTGAAGCCTTTTAAACTAGCTTCCACTCAAAGAACTGCAACTAATCAAAAATTTCAATTTTAGCAGAGTGATGCCAGGATTTTTTTTAAAGGTTCTTCTTCCAAGTGGAACAATTCAGGAACTATTTGCAAAACTTTTTATTTAGTTTAGCTGACTATTTCCCATTGTAAAAGAACAACTCTTCTCCCTGCTGAAGACCTGTTTTTCATTTGGAAATGCTTCACCTGCCTTCTAGATCAGAGGAAGGAATTGAACATCAGAAATTATTTATTTTCACTGGAAAAAATTTCCACTATGGTGACTTGTCTTGATTCCCAGCAGAATTAAACACAAGTTATAGCTTTCTTCTGTCATAAAAGAAAGTGTCACATTTGAGCAGTTGGGCACTCTGTGGAGGACAACTAAATATTTGAAGATATTTGTATGTGCATTCTCCCCATGTCTGCATTTTGCCTGCTTGTATTCCCTGTGCTGTGGCACAGGGAAGCAGCTGGCTTCTGGGACTTGACACCCAGAAGGAGCCTGAGCTATACATTTCAGTGAGATATCAGTGTGAACACTGGAGAGTTTTGAGATGTTCATTCAATGGGCAGTGAAACGAAAGACACTGCCTCTAGGAGAGGAATCTGTGAATCAGGAGAAAGGCAGGAGCAGAAAGACAGGGAGATGCTGGAGTGATTAATGGTAAGGTCTAAGAGAGGCCTTACCCTATTTTTTAAAAATCAAAACATGTGCACCTAAGCAAGAATGGGAGTGAAAATTTGTGCTTCTCAGGTTGAATTAACTGAAGAGCCTCAGCTTGGTGTCAATTTGCAATTTGCCTTTTCCCATCACTTGTCCACAGAAACATGAGTGGATCTTTTGCTGTGTCATAGGTGTCAATTTCTGTTCAGTTTTTATAAAGGACACCTTAGGCAAGGAGGTTTAAGCAGAGTAGGAACCTTCTGATCTCGGTAAGTTCTGCCACTGTCCCCCATGTGAACTGTGATAAATGAAACCCAAATACTGGAAGTTCGGAAAATCTAAATCAAGACATTTTGAAGCTAACATCTTTTGTGGCAGATAAACAAAGGCAAGTTGTGCTGCATGAAGGGGACATTGGTTTTCGTGCTGGGTGGATGCCTGCTTGCAAGGACAAGGGAGGGAGATGGGACCACTCCTCGTGGTGGTTGCAGTGGAAGGGGACCTCACTGAGCAAGCACTGGTTGCCCCAAGGATAGGCTCCCCAAGTTCATCCAAGCCCTCAAGTTAACTCAGGGGATATCTCTCATCTTTCTGTTTCTCACACAGACACTGAGAAGTCCCAGCAAAACCAGACGGACGACTCCAACCCTGAAGACGGCTCGCTCAAAAAGAAGCAGCGGAGGCAGAGGACACACTTCACCAGCCAGCAGCTCCAAGAGCTGGAAGCCACTTTCCAGAGAAACCGTTATCCAGATATGAGCACCAGGGAGGAGATTGCAGTCTGGACCAACTTAACAGAGGCACGAGTCCGGGTAGGACTGCAGCCCTTCCACCTTCCTGGGCCTGAGTTTGTGGGAAAGAAGCCAAGCTGTTCCCAAACCAAGGAAGGAATTAGGAGCACTAGAAAATGTCCCTGTCTTCGAAACACCTCACCAGGGTCTGTACTTGAGATTTGACACATCCTGCCACATACAGAAGGCACACCTGCTGCTGGTGCCTTCTACATCCAGGGCCACCTTGCAATTACACAGGTAGATACAAAGCTCAGGCTCTGCCCCACAGAGCTCCACCAGCTCACTGCCTCGACCCAGCAGACCCCTTCCTTGCAGTACCATCACTCCCCAACCTCACCCTTGCTGAAGGGCACTTTTGGGTTCCCAAACCAATGTGCAGTCACAGGCATGGTGTGGCAGTGTTCCAGCTGGAGTGAGAGCTTCTCTCTGCTACCAGAAATATGAGTTACCATGAATAGCCTTCCAGCAGCTTCCATGCTCTAGGAAGTTATATTGTTTGAACCCCTCTAACACTAACAGATTTTCCTGTTAGAAGACAGACTTACAACATCCTACTCCAAGGCAGTCCTGAGGTAAAGTCAAAAGAAGAGAAGTTATTTCCTTTGTTCAGCAGCTTTCAAGCCATATCCCCCAAATATTTTGCTCCCAAGTCACAGAATCCCAACCCCTCCTCCTGGCTGTGGTCACTTGGAAATACAGCAAGTATTTTCCTCTCTTTTTCCTGTATAAAGGGCATCTGTTGAGTGAGGGTTATTCCGTGTGTTGTGAAATGGCAGTGGTTTGGGTTTTTGTTTGTTGACTGAGGACCACCTCATGATTCCTGCTGGGAGATGACCCTGAAGCCCAGACATCTTGCTGCAGCTCTTTCCTGATGCTCAGCCTCCCATCTCCCTGGGAGCATCACCAGCCCTTCAGCTGCTCTTGTCTTGCAGGGCAAATAAACCAGGGCAAGGCCCCTTGCAAGGTCAGCTAGAGCAACTCCCATGCCCTCCCTCTCTCTCTCTTGCAGGTCTGGTTCAAAAACCGCAGAGCTAAGTGGAGGAAACGAGAGAGGAACCAACAGGCCGAATTGTGCAAGAATAGCTTTGGAGCCCAATTCAATGGACTGATGCAGCCCTATGATGACATGTATTCCAGCTATTCCTACAACAACTGGGCCACTAAGGGGCTTGCCAGCAGTCCACTCTCGGCCAAGAGCTTTCCATTCTTCAACTCCATGAACGTCAGTCCCCTCTCCTCCCAGCCCATGTTTTCCCCACCCAGCTCCATCACCTCAATGACCATGCCTTCATCCATGGTCCCTACTGCAGTGACCGGAGTACCGGCCCCTAGCCTCAACAACCTGGGAAACATCAATAATCTGAACAGCCCAAGCCTCAACTCTGCTGTTTCATCCAGTGCCTGTCCTTACGCCTCTACAGCCAGCCCCTACATGTACAGGGACACGTGCAACTCCAGCCTGGCCAGCCTGCGGCTGAAGGCCAAGCAGCATGCCAACTTCACCTACCCAGCGGTGCAGACAGCAGCTTCCAACCTGAGCCCTTGCCAGTACGCTGTGGACAGGCCCGTATGAAGGGCTGCCCTCTGCCAACCAGGGACTTGACCTTAGCCTGACGAAAGGAGACCTTTAGCCCTACAACAGCGTACGTCCTGCAGAGAATGAGAGTGAACTTGAGAGCGTAAGAGGGAGACAGGGAGAGAGAGAGAAAAGGATGAGCAGGCAGACGAACCTTTATGAAGATTTGTCTATTGTATGGTGAATTTTGACTGTCTTTCCCCTTCAAAACCCCTTCCCTTCTTGCCCACCAAACCTTCTCCTCCATGGTAAAATAAACTTAAAGAGTCTACTGGAAGCCCCATGGGGAAATAGGAGCCCCAACATGTAGGGTGCCTGACCCATGGGCAGCACAACCAAGTACGTTTCAATCTGCGCCTCCAAGCCCCACAGGGGTGAGCCCCCCAAATTCCTGGGACAGCACAGGCAGCCTCACACCATCCCTGCAGGAAATAGCCAGAGACAGGACAGCTTGAAGGGAGTTGCCAGTTGGTGCTTGGCTGAACCATATTCTCTGCACACGTGCAAGACTTCAATGAAAGATATCTTGCCCATTTATTTATCACACAGCCTGTAAGGAAGCCTTGTCTCAGTCAATTAGCCTTTCTTTATAATGCATATATACACATGGCCCTTCAGACTTGAAACCTTTAGGAGCTGGGGGTTGTAAGAATATAAAATATGTGTGTGTATATATATATATCTTATATATATATACAAATACATATAGAGATATTAAAATATGCTTTCTTGTTTTGTATGTGAAATAAGCTACAAAGTAGACCTTAAAACCAAAAACCCTGTAAAGAAAGCACATCCACCGAGGCAGTGTCCTGGCTGTCATGCTTTACTGCTTCAGTCATTTTGGTCAGACACACTGCTGCCAGCATACATCCCAAACATCCCCATCTGCAACAATCAGCTCCTCCTTGCACATCTCCTTCCCTTCCCCAAATCCCATTTCCAAAAAAAGATAATAAAAGTTGGCACAAACCCTTTAAGCTTCTGTATGTGTGGTCATTGAAAGCACAAATCTGCATCTGAAGATTCTGAAATCAAGCGCCAGTAGCCCAGGTAAAGGTAAGCATCCTTAAAAGCAGCAGCATGAGGCAATCTGAGTTGGAACAGGAGCTGAAGTTGGAAGAGTAGTTCATAATCCTCACTTACATATCAAACACCTGGCTCCTCAGAACAACAGAAGTCCACACAAAGAGTAGGAAGGGGAAAACAAGCCCCCTCCCTGTTTCCTGTCTTCATGCACCCGGTCCAGCAGGAAGGCTGAGCCTCTTCTGGCTCAGGCTTTGCCATTGTGCTGGGTGGGGCCAGTGCCTTTGGGCTCCCACAGCCCAGGGCAGGGGAATCCCCTCAGGTGCTCTGGCTCTGAGCAGGAGTCCCCAGGGGAGATGCCAGATGCAGCAACCTGCCCTGCTCAGTTCCTGTTGGAAAAGCTGTAAAACAGAGGCAGCCCTCTCAAGCTATACAGGCACCTAGAAAAGCTGATGCTTCAGCCAGTGCAAAATGAGGCAGCAGATCCCTCCAAGGGCCCAAGGAAGCTCCACATGCAGCAGGGGAGCAGGACATCTTTACCCAGTGCAATCACCTTTCCCTTCATCAAGCACAAGCTCTAATGGGAAAACACAACTCCAATACTTTACTTTCCTCTTTAGATAGAAAAAAACACAGCTTTTAAGTATCCTCGCAACAAACAATCCTGCCAGAAAGGACAGGCAAATCTGACACAACCAATGTTCTGCAATGTCGTCAGCATGCAGAGAGAAAGCAGGTTCTTTGCTAAGAGTGGATCTTCACTAGGACACAGTGAGAGGTTCTCACAAACCAAGCATATAGCTGCTCAGTTTTTGCCAGTCTCTTCCACAGGGAGCAGTTGCTTCTGAAGGTATTTATGAGCAGATGCTGAAAGCAGTCACGGGTGTCAGCCCACCCTCACTGTAACAAACTATTCTTTGTTCTGAGCTAATCTAAAACCTGGGAGCCAAGATATCCTGCACTGAAACAGCTACCTGTGGAAGGGTTCAAAGACCAAATGTAAACATATAAAACATAAACACAGTGCATCCCAGACCATATGTCTCATTGTAACCCAGATCCTACCTTGCTGCTGGACACCAATGCTGTTGAAGTAGATTCAGTGGTTAATCTCCATTCTGTGCTGGAGCTGCCAACCAGCCACCTTTCCACCAAATACACACCTCATCTTGGTGCTACTGTGCTTAGCTCCTTTCTCTGACATGACTCTTCCATCTATGGGAAGAAAGAAGGGCCTGGGCTTCTCTCTAATACCCAGCTCATAGCAGAGTCCACCTTTTCTCCCTGGTAACCCAAGACACGTTGTGCCACAATCCTTTCCTACTGCATTGATGAAGAGCTGATCTCTTTGATCTCTTTGCACACTTGGTCTTTCCCCTCCTCCTTTTCCACACACACTACCTCTCCACCCTGTGCTTGGTGGCTCTCTGTGCTGCTCTGATGCTTGTGAAGGTACTCTACTTGTTGCACAGAGAAGATGATGTTTGGCTGGGAGAAGCAGTACAAGACTTGGCTGCTGACTGTTGCAGGATTCAGTGGATGTAAGATATGTCCAACTATGCCAAGCAGAAGGCCAACTCCAGCACATGGTTCTCATTTTCTCCTTTGGGAGCCAGTGGAGAAAAGTCAAGACCTAGTTTAGGTCCTGATTTTTCCTGAGGTTTTTCATGCAGTCATTTAAATTAACATTACTCCATACCTCTCATTCCTGAGCAGGACAGACTCAGTACCCACACAAGGTAACTGGTACATGTGGCCAGTGGCTCTGCAGTCTGACTAGTTGGCTCAAGTTTTTCCTTCCCATGCTGTATGGAGAAGATGGTGGGGTCTGTTTCTGCAGTCAGAGGTATTGCACCATGTAGGATCCAGACCAGATGGCAAACCACACACCAGCTCTTGGCTGAGAGCACTTTGTATAATGGTACCTAACAACAGACTCAACCATGGGAAAAACCTTAATATCTACAGAAAATGGAGATGAGCAATAGCAAATAACTAATTGAGCAAGTTGGCAGCAGAGTGCTCTGGGAGATGTCTCCTGTCTGACAAATGCCACCTGCCTGCCTGGTGCAGCTAAACCAGTTCAGCCTCTCAAGTTCAGCTTCTTCCCCATGGGGCCAGGACTTGGACATCATGCCCTCCGGTCCAGCACAAACACAGCAGATGTTCTACAGACCTGATTCAGGACTTCTCTCTCACAAGCCCCCAGTAGCTCCCCAGATGTTGATATTGCAACCCCAAGCATGTGATTTTAGCAGGATCCCACTTATTCTCGAGACCTGTTAGGCAAATAACTTTGTCGCTGGCTACTTCCCAATCTGCAGATTTAGCAAGAGACATTCTCCTCCATCATCCAGATCATTAATGGAACTGCTGAGCAAAAACAGACCTACAACAGATGTCCCTGAATTTCACTCAACAGACCCCTTCCTTTTCAACAGTGAACTGTGGATAACTTTCTGGGTATAATTATCCAGTGGGTTTTGTACCTACCCAAATCCCATCTTGATCATTCTTAAAAGACACTTGACTGGCAGCCAAAGCTCTCCGTCACCATGTCTTTCTCTGGCAGAGAGGAAAATTGGATTATTTTGACCAGATTCTGTTCTTAATATGTCCACATAGCTCCTGCTCATCTCCATTGCTTACACATAGTGAGATTATTTGATCCAGTTTTGTTGGTTGTTTGTTTGGTGTTTTTTTGGGTTTTTTGTTTATGTTTATTTGTTTGGGAGTTTTTTGTTTGTTTTGGTTTTGTGGGTTTTTTATTGTTGTTGTGGGTTTGGTGGGGTTTTTTTGTTTTGGTTTGTTTGTTTGTTTTGGTTTTGGTTTTGGTTTTGGTTTTGGTTTTGGTTTGTTTTTTTTTTTGGTGGGGTTTTCTGTTTGCTTGGGAGGAGTGGAGTTTTTCTTATGGTTTTTTTGAGTGGGGGATTTAACTGTGAGCAGTTCCTGGCTCTTGGCCTCAGTCCCCATTTTGAAGAGGGGAAACTTCTTCGGGAATTCTCATCGATAACAATGACTAATTCTGGGATTGCTTTGTATGAGGCTCACCACACGGAGAGGGTCTGAAAAAATCCCGTTTGTCTGAATCCTCTCTTCCTTGCACTTTTTTATTCAAGGCCAGGCTTTAGCCCCCATCACCAGCACGGCTTGTGCTCTCCACTCCCCCGCAGCTGTGTCTGAAGGCTAACACGGAGCGCACCGACGCTGGGTGTCCTCAGCAGCTGCCGCGCTTCTTCCCCTCAGCCGAGAAGCAGCAGGCACCGTCCCCGGCTCGCATCCCGCTCACACGGCGGGGGGTGTTCCGACTCCTCGTGCTCGGTGCGTGCTGCCAGTAGAGCCCCGAAGCGCGGAGTGGGTGCGCACCTCCGAGCCGCTGCTGTACATATTAAGGCTGGGCCCAGATAGGTCCGCAGCCGTAAGAAGTGGCTCTAATTTCGGCCCCAGGCGCCGTTC